AAAGAGAAAACCTAGGGGAGCGAGAAAGTAAAAATCTCAGTTAGGTCCTGGAGACCATCGTAGTTTTGTTGGTACTGTTACTCTAATTGTTGTTTTCCTTCCTTTCTCCTCTTTCTGCTCCTTTTTCCNCCCCCCCCCCCTCGATTCGCCAATGAATAAAGAGGCCCTTAACACTTTTCATTCAGGCTCACTGTAGTAATGCCCCCTTTCCTCTATAAAGATTATTAGAGAGGAAGATAATTGATTCGTATTTGGCTCATTTTGTCCGCCGCGATTCACAGTAAATTCGTGAAGTTGATCCACGAATTACTTTCAAAATAAGGAATTTCACTTTCCATCTCTGCTTATGGTAAACCTCACCACTCTATCCCCTTTCAGGGCATCTGGCTATTTTCCGGAGAAATTGTAGTTTTCAACAATGAGAGGTTTCTCATGGTGAGGCTCCTAAAAGGTAGTTACGTGTTATAACTGAAAGGCAAGGAGTACCAGTTGAGTAAGTGCAGCTTCTTACTTACCCGAATCATGAATGAAACCACAACAACGCCCAAGGTTGAAAACGGAATCTGTGTCGTTCATTCAAGTCGTAAAAAGCTGGACGAAGAGTTGCCACTTTATCACAATATTTACTCAATTCGACCGTGAATATGGATGGCTTGTCCTCCCATAATTGAAAAGTCATGTTTTTCACTGCTGCCAAATGATCAAATGTAATCATTCTGCACTGTTGCTTTGTATAAGTTCGCACTATAATATCGAAAGCACGAGCGAAAATCTATGAGGAGGTAAAAGTAAGCAGTGTAAAAAAAAAATTCACCGAAAGGCAAATTATTCTAGATTAAGACCATCGAAATACCATTTTTGCACCTGAAGGCAGGGAAATTAATTGAAATAGTACAGTTAAATACATGCAGACTCTGTCACCTTCAGAACCGCGCAGAGAAAAATTGGATTAGCAGTTCCAGTATGTTTTTGAAAGTATCCTAAAAAAAGGATGTTCGATATTCGAGAAAAAAAAACAAAAAAACTTGGCTTTATATTTTAAAGAGGTGGGAGGAGAGAATTAGGCCATTTGTTTCCGAAAAGTAAAAAAAAAAGCAACATACTTCCTTCTGTCCAACAGAGCCAAGAAAGTCTGCGTGCTTTCAGCTTCGAAGCCTCCTTCTAACTTTGAGAACAGGATTTCAAATTTTAAAATAATTTCTCACGATGAACTTCTTGTGTTTTAAAATTAGATCGATCGATCGATCAATCAGATCTTTTAATTATTCCTCATGTCCGTGACACCGTCACGCTCTGTTTTCCAGTATAGCTCTATCAGAGGTTCACTGGAAAAAAAACACATTGAATCTAGAGTCTAGACTCTTGAAAACATTGACAAGAAAAAGGACTCTTTATTCAATCAGATTTAAGCTTAAATCAAAAGGAAATCCGCTCAAATTAAAAGGCTTGGTAATTGATTTAAGCTTAAATCTGATTGAATCAAGAGTATTTTTTCTTGTCTATGTTTTTATGAGTCTGGACTCTAGATCCAATGTGTTTTTTCCCCCAGTGTTTGCTTCCTTTGAAAAAACGAAGGGACCCTTTTCGCAAGGATTTAAGAATTTATTTTAAATTTTTACCCCCAAATAATCAACTCCCTACGACACTCGAGGTATGAAAATGTAATGTTTGTGTAAAAAATCCCTAAAGCATGAAAATATAGATAAAGAATAGATTTTGACGTGGCAATCTTAATGACAGTAGCCCCGTCACCGAGCAGAGGCGGTCACCGTAGGAGAGAGCGGTGACACGCCATGCGCCACGGTTGCAGTGCCGCAACGAGACGGTCCAGCTCCAGAGGCTGTATTGTGGTTCGATATGATCGTATCATTATCCACCGATAAATATCGATAAATCAATTTTAGGAGAAGTAGCTTTCGCTGATGTAAGCTCCCGTCCCGCCCCGTCCCGATATTTCGACACCTCAAGAACCGAGGATGTTGGAAAGAAGGTAGCATTCGCCGCGAGAGAGGTGGAAGTGGGTGCTGTCGATCGTTAGTGATGTCATATTCGCGGATTTTCGGAGCTTAGCATGTGGGTTGCAGTTGCTGCTGCGGAAGGGAGTTACGTTTTAAAGAAGACAGAAGCAGTGGCGTAGCATGCTTTGCGATGTATCGATTGATTTGTCATTTGAACCAATGGGAAAGGATCGATAAACAGGTTATCCGCAACGAAGACCTTATTAATAGATTCTGCACCACATCTTCAAATGGGGAAATATCGATAATCGATCATTCACGCCTGGCCACTGCGCCGTGTTCCCAGAGATGCTCAAAATAAAATTTCGTTCTTTTAAGAAGAAGTCTGTTGTATGAATTGTTTTTGTTTTTTTTTTTTTAAAAAAAAAGAGAAAAAAAATTGGTCTCATATGAACGTGTGAAAAGTACTTAAAAAACTCACATGTCTCAATGATGTTTTAAAAGAAAATGGGGAAGAAGGAGTATAAATTAGGAAGGAGGACTAAAAGAAAGAAAACGAGGAAAATAGAAAATAGAGGGCATAGACGGACAAATCAGATGAAAAGGCATTGCTATGAAGTCAACCCGCAGTAGACGCTTCTGGATAAGATTTCATCGTTTGAAATTTAATTTTTAAAGAAGGCGCCTTTTGGTGGCGTTGGCGTGTCGTGTCTCTCTTCGATAAGGAGGCGCTCTTGTTGGCGCCTCTTCCTAACGCGGCACGTATTTAGAGACGCGTCGAATACTAGCATCATTTCAAGTCCCAATCAACAGTGTAGCAGAGTTAGATTAATGTGGTTGCTTCACCTAATTCCTTGATGAAGAATAACGACGCATACGTGACGCCTTCACTGTGAAAAGATACTTCCCAGCGTGGCCTCAGAGGCCAAATAGTTGCATCCTCCAAAAACCCAATCAACAGTGTAGCAGAGTGAGTAATGCGGTTGCGTGAGACTCGACGCATAAGTAACGCCTTCACTGTGACAAGATACTTCCTAGCATGTCCTCAGAGGCCGAATAGTTGCATCCTTCAAAACCCATTCAACAGTGCACCAGAGTAGATTAGTTAGTAAGTAATGCGGTTGCGTGAGATTTGACGCATAAGTAACGCCTTCACTGTGACAAGATACTGCGTAGCGTGGCCTCAGAGGCCGAATAGTTGCATCCTAAATTATGAGGGTAAGACAACAGTTTCAATCGTTATTCCATTCTAATGACCGGATAGTCCCTCACTGGAAAACACGCGGCCGCTATGCTGTCGTTTAGGAAAAACTCCGAATGAAAATTTGGCTCATGAAGCTTCTAGCAAACTTGCTGTTTGCCGTTTTGAAATACCTTCAACCTTTTCTTTTGGTCCCATCATTCTTCATATCATTCGCAATTTTTAAAGTTTTACGTCTGGCGTTAGAATCTCTGCCAAATTTTTCTCTCGTGTAATGCCCCTTCTACTACGTATACCTCGATTTTTCAAAACTTGTCATGCCGCAAGGCAGTTCTACAGCTTGCTAAGCTGTTCGAAGTTCAACATCTAAGGGCCACTTCAACTCTTAGATGCCCAAGACATTTTTCAAACGTAAAGACTCATGTAGGGTCAAATGGACCCGTACATTGGTAAACTAGGGGGCTACGCCCCCTGGCCGCTACGCGGCCCAACCCCCTGAAGGCGCTCCGCGCCATCAATGGGCCGCTTCGCGGCCCTATTTTTACCCTCCAATCAGTGTTAGGTTTATTTTTCCCCCTAAAAAATTACGATATGAGGTATACTTTAATTTTAAACTTTACTTAAAATTACTTTAAAATTAAAAGGACGCGTTTTCGAATGACTGTTTGATGAAATATTGCAGTAAAACAATGAACAATGATAGTCAGGTAATAATTAAAATATTACGAATTGCGGATCGAACCCACATCGAATACAATGTGCACACATTCGACGTCTTAAACCGCTCGGCCACCGCTCGACGTGAGAGTTTCGTCGCAAATCTAGTGTAGATAAGTGTAGAGCTGATGCGCAGGCTACACAGCTACTGCGCAACCTCCTCGACCACTGCGCATCCTCCCGCGCATAGCGGTAGCAGTACCGGAGCATTCTGTAAACTCACTCACTTTTATAACGTGATTTTAAAAAAACCTGGGTCCTTTTTCCAAAATCTGATTACAGCGGGCTCATCTAGGGCCTATTACCTGTCGATTTACGCAAAAATCATGGAAATCGGCCCGGTAGAACGCTCAAACGAACTATGACAAAAAGTATAAATTTACATTGTTTAAATGGGAGAATTCGCAACTTTACCACGTAATATAAAAAAACCTGGGCCATATTTTGAAAATCTGAAAAGAGTTGGCTTATCTAGAGACAATTGCCCGTCGATAGCCGCAAAAATCATGAAAATCGGCCCGGTAGAACGCTGGAACTAAGCGTCACCAGTTTTGCAAAATTAGGAGGTCTTGGAGCTTATAGTATAGATACATTGATTTTGCTATTATTGGAGGCATTTTTTTTTTTTTTTATTTTTATTCCTATGTTCTCGAAGGTAAGGAATACTTTTTCTATAATGTCCATCTACATGGTAATATACTGGCGCTTAGACGAAGGAGAGAAACCTACGGCTAGAAAACTAATGCTGCACTGAGGATGTCACTTGGTCTACCTCGAAAATTGAAGGCGAAACAGCACTGTGCGCAATCACCATGCGTGACCATGCTCTGTTCGTATCCATTCTGCTCCTTCAAAAATTTTCGGACAAAGAACGCCACTGCCCCCCCCCCCCCCCCCCCCNTCTCAACCATTTAATTTGAACCAGAAATTCGCTCGGCGCCGCGCCGGCGCACAGCGTCGCGACGCTGAGGAACAGAATAATAATAGCATGCAGAGACGGAAGGGAAGGGGCGAAAGCACGTCACCAAATTCAATTGATGTAAATTACACTGGTGGGCGTTCCCCTTCCTCTGAATAATTAATTTCATGCACAATTATTTCCAGGTCATCGTCATAGTGGTTGCCATCGTGGCTAAAAACCTTTTATTTTTTGAGAACCCAACCAAAAATGACTCGCACGTAAGAAAGGAGAACTGAAATACCTGTAGTTTCTGAAATCAATGGAAAAGAGCTCCGTATTTGTTAGGTTGGCCCCCCTGCTGGTGTCAATTGTCCGATTGTCGACTGATTTTCGCAAGTGAAGTGCGGCCTAGGATTTACGGTTTCAGGATTTCTTCAGCGCCAAAATTTTACGAAGATACATCCACGGACAGTTTTTAGAACTCTACATTAATTTGTGAAAGACTATCGTTTCAAAATCATCCGGAAGACACCTAAGCTCTGAAATGTCCTGCTTTGATACTTGAAATTCCATCCGTTCCAGTTACCTGTCATGGAGAGAGTGTTTTGAGATCATCGGCAGGCTTGAAGTCGAAGGTAAACCATTAAATATATTCTTTCTCTTATTTTGTTCAACAAACATAGTTCATCTCATTCTCCATCGGCTCACAATCGCAGATTCCGAAACTTTCCGTAGCCACCTGGATTCCAAGTAATTTTTTGAGGTTAGTCATGGCTTCCCCAATCTCACCTTATTATTTATCAGTGTAAGTATCAAGTTTCAGCAATTATCGGGTTTAACTTTTGATGATATTTTCTCTTCATTTATTCCTCGCCATTTTAGGACTCATGTCATTCCTTTCTATGTATTTTATTTATCGTTGGATCTGTATTAATTGTACACTGAAGGTTGGGAGTAGTCAATGCGCTGATAAGGATGCTCCGGATTCTTCAACTCTTAATTTTTCGAACGAACAGTTGTAGCACATATGGCATCAATCGTCCAACTCCTACTGTCATTCCTACTCCTGCAATTTATGGGAATTTGCAACAAATTTCTGCTTAAGTTTTTCTTACTGACAATTTAGTTGCCATGTGAAATCTAATTAATACGTTGTTCAGTTATAAAGAGGCCACCGCTGCCTTTTCTCCCAAGTTCCAAGAATGAAAATTCTGTCCCCAAAGATGCATATCGCTTGAGGTCCCAAAGAATCTACTGATGACAATGCTAACATATCATGTGCACCTTAGCTTCCGGATCTCCTATTAAATTGAAGTTGATCATGTAAAAAAAATTCTAGTCCGAGGAAGGTACAAAGGACTACTTCTCAAGTTGAATCCAGAGCTATAAGCTCCAAGCATCAAAACCACTTTGATAGACTGATTTTGAGTTTTACTCGGAGTATTTTCAACAAATCAAATCGACAGGAGGTGAATCAGTGCCTCTAGAGCATCTTATCACTTAAATTTTGAATGAAGCAAATGAACCCAAATCAGAGTGGAAAGTAAGGTTGATATAATTTCATGGATTGATATTTATTACCAATGTCATTTTTTCGGTCGAAAGTACTTTTGACTTTCTTTTTGGGCGTCTTAAACAAGGAGTACTTCTCAATGTAATCACACTCTCAAGGCCCAGATCCACCTCGTACCCATCGGATTTTTGGATGATACCCTGATAATTACTGAAAGCAGTCATATGTCAAAATGTTTGTGAAAGGCAATTTATTTACCCCATGTGTAAGTAACTCGGAAACACTTGACCGCCGGGGTGCAGGAAGTTATAGCTTTGTATAATTTCATGCGCAGGCTGTGTATCTTTCCGTATTTTTCTCAAGGCCTTCCACACATGTCTCCCCAAATTTCATCAGGAAAAAGCTTCTTTTGTTTTTTTTTACTTATAACCCAGTGTTGGTCATGAATATTTAGGGATTTCATGCCGATTGCAGTGCTTGCAATAATCAGCATTCATCTACCATTATTGCAGATCTCCTCTAATAAATGCCACGGTTAAAATTAATGAAACTGAATGTGACAATTTGACCCTTGCTCCAAAATCTCAGAGCCTTTACCTATGCATTCCCACCCCCATCCCCCCAGGTGCATAATCAGGTATTTTCTGCACTCCTGATAGACAGTAACCATCCTTCTGGAAAGAATTTTGCCATTCACCTTTTGAGAACTGCAGAATTAATGTATCCCTGTCTTCATTTTCATTTGCTGATCTAACGGTTAGGATCATGCACATGTGGAAAGATGGATATTTTGATACCTGCAGCTCATGATTTCGTCGGAAGTCATGGATGCGTTGAAAAAAATTTCAGCCTCCTGTTCAAAATGAAAACACTCTCTGTGGTAGCAACTTTGACTCGTCAAATTTTAAGTATCCCTCAACCATTGCTCTTTTTGTATCCCTAAGACTCCCCCACTCCTTATAAATGCGACGGATCAGCTCCCGCTCGTAAAATGACCATTCTCCTTAACTTTCAGGTGAAAATTTGGCCCACTTCGACAATGGCCGGTCACCCAGTGCCAGGTACTTAAAAATCGTACATTATGCCTGCTTGCTAGTCGTTGCTTTCCTTTATTTTGATTCGTTTACCCCGCATCATTTTTGTTTTTGCTAGACCTCTGTATCCTCTCATAGGTACAGCTGTTTCCTCACTTTTAGCTTCTTGCTTCGGGAAAAGAAAGGTCAAATTTATGAATTGCTAGTTGGTACCCAAGATTCTCTAGCTTGAGGGCAATCAAGGATGGCAATGCTGCTTTTTGCCCAGTTTTTTGGAAGTGGGATAAGATTCTACCCGTCAAATTTTCTGCTAGTAATCTAATCTCAAGGTGTTTGTAACCTTAATCGTTTTTTTCCCATCCAAATTGAAAAATGATAGCATGAGTATTTACTACTGTAATAATAGATGTTATCATGATGGACGTACATTACAATTCTTCATCAGCATTCTCAATCAGATTCGATCCTAAAATTAACAATGTCATAAATTATTTTAATGCCACCAATGAGAATAAATAGATTCATATCTGTGCCTTCTTGTGATACTGCCCAACTTTGATTCATATATTGGAAAAGGAGAATCAATGCTGGCATAATTTGTATATTTGTTAAATCAGAATTAGGTAGAATACCTACTTCTTAATTTTTTTCATTAGATGGTAAATGAATCGGTAGTTCCACTTTAATCCGTGGCTAGATTAATAAGATTTATTTTTCTACGTACTACTCATTAAGTATATTTGACACAAATGTCCTGAAACAAATTTTTTTGCACGGAATAACTGTTTACTAAAGCACTGCGTTTAAACTAAATCCCTCTTCCCCCACTTATTCTATGTACTGAAAACAAGATATTAAAATATTTAAAATTTTCAGCAAGTTTTTGACAGATCGCTCTTATGATTTTTTTTTTTTTTTTTTTTTTTTTTTTTTTTAAACAAAATTATGTACATAGGCACTGTGAATTTTTAGAGGCTTTGAAAGTTGACTTGTGAGAGAAACGTTTAATTTTCCTGTTAGAAAGTATTCTAGTCTTATTGAATATCTTGTTTTTAGGCATGCTGAATGGTTGGCATGGATTGTTAGACATCATCAAAATTGAATACCACTTCAAGTTTTTTACTTTTACTTACTTATTCTTTTGAGAGGAAAGATAAATGTCCTAGAACCCTATTGATAACATTCCCAAATGATTATTCTTGAATTCTTAGCGTCTTGTGTGGAAGAAAATTTGATCAGAAGAAACTTTAATTTGCTAAAAATAAACCATTTAGAAATAATCATATGTTAGGCAAGAATGTATTAAAAGAAAGCTGAAATATAGGTGGAACATCAAGTTGGATCGTAATTTAGATACATCACTGTTTTCAGCCTGCAATTTTTTCTCTCTTGCCTTTTGATCCTCAAACGCTCTTTTAAATCATATTCTTCTCCAACTCTTGCTGGGTTTCAAGATGCATTCATATGTACAGAGAGTGATGTAATTAATTCAGAATCTTGAACTCGAACATTTTGTTTGAATTGTCAATGTTTGCACTTGCACGCTTAGCTTAATTAGCAAATGGATTTTGAACCATACACACCATTCAATCTTTCTTGCAAACATGAACATATTTTTGGACCTAGTTATTCAAATAAGTCAGCTTTTTTGAAAAATTTATGCCAACAATCCAAGTTCCCAATTCCCTCAGATTCGACCACATCAAGTATAATGCAGGTCCATGGTGCTGAATAAACGGCTGGTAGGATGGCCTTTTTTCATAAATACTGCTGAAATGCATAATGTGGGTACCAAGGGGTTGTTCATATATTTGTTAAGATAAATAGGGGAATGAAGCTTTCCGAACCGTTTCGAAGCCCAGTCCTTTGTAAGCCTCTCACTTCGAAAAAAATTATCAGCTATGTTTTAGGCTTTTTCGTTTTTTTTTTTTTAAAAAAAATTGAAGGGGAGGGGAGGCGTTCACTGCTCAGGTCAGTCTTACATAATTTAAAATATGTGTGTAAAGAAGTCTTCTGGGTGCCTTACTAGGAGGGGAGAGGGTTCAAAAAGTTGGCCAAAATGTCTTATGCAATACTTCAAGAGCCTGTAAGTCATGAATACACCATATTGTTTTCTAAAAAGACTACAAACTATTTGCTTCTTTCCATAAAAAAAATAAAGTAAAATAAGATGGATCATCAAAAGTAATTTACACTGTACTACCACAGGTTTTGCTAGTTAGGAAGAAAGGAAACCCCAGAACCCTTCAGAGTTTCTTTTCTCTGTATGTGCCCTCAGAATTCTAAGTATTTCCTATAAGGACATTGTCATCTTCAATACTGGCTGGGCATTTTCCCAAGTCCTCAGATATAATGTATGCATACTGCTTCCACTGTCGCAAAGTGCAATTAAGACTTTGCAATTTTCAGAATCTTGTCCTTCTTTCAATCAGATGAAAATGTTTCCGAATTCCTTATTTGGTTTTTTTCTTTTTTTTTTCTTTTTTTTAAGTACCGTATTGTTTTTTTAATTGACTCTCTTTGAGTGATGAGAATTTCAATGAATGCCCCTTTAACTATGTGTGTAACATAACACTGAAAATAATTGCAATAACTTTTATAACTGATCTTGTTTCAATGTCAGTATTTTTTTTCTTGCTCTAATAAAATTTGTACCAATTACATACAACAATAAAAGAATAAAACAAGAGAAAATGAAATGCTTTATGCTCTTTGTATTTTAATAAATATTTTTTTTACCCATTGTTTGGAAATTTAGCGGCAAAAGCCTCATCATGGATGTATTTCTTTTTTATTGTTTCTTTCTTAAATCCCTCTTAATGTGTCAGCGCCAGTAAGGAAATTCACTTCTCTTCTGAGTATCCTTGCACTCAATTATTCAATCACGCTTACCCGTCATGCTTTTGTGTTCTTAGGTTTATTTTCTCAAATTTGAATGCATTCCAAGGTAGATATTTTATTAATTTTTTTGTGTTGATTTCAGATTTAATGCAAGGTGAAGGAGAGGAGGAGCTGAAAAACGCTATTTTAAGCGCAAAACCTCCAACCGCCATCCGAGTTAGCAGAGCTCATGCTGATTCAAACAATGCCCAAGTAAGAAACTATCATTTGTCAGTAATACATGTATCTGTTCAGGTATTAGAATGTTTCAATCTAGAAAGGTTCAAGTATCAGAAATCAGCTACATACAGCACTCAGTACAAGTGCATGTTCTTTTAAATTGTTGATCACCAATTTTATTAGTTCCTGCGAAAAGTACGTAACTATTATCGAACATTATTTTATTGCCATAAATTTCCGCCAAAATCTCTCACTTTCTCTCAAAAGTGTGTTCTTCTCTCTTTTAAAATTTGACCTGGCAAACTTGATATTTTACGTCCGATAGGACATTCGGTAGAATGATAGGTCATACCCAAATAGTTCATTTTAGAGAAATGCAAAATACCTAATGGATAATTGTGAGCTGAATCATCGCCCACTTGCTGCTTTTCCCCCCCTTCTGTCTCAACGCTTTGTCAGCCTGTAGCTTTTTAAGGGTGAGGGGTGTTCTTTCCACAGCATCTCCAGAATATCTAAGAAAAATGTGTAATATCAGAGGATTTTTACAAACATAAAGTAAGTATTTTTATCCTTAGACTTGTGTAGTGTATACGATCTAGATTGACTGAGCTGTCCCATTATTGTTAATCATCCTGAAAGCTTGCATGTTTGAATATATCTAGATCAATCTAATCCAGATCAAAAATTGCAGGAAAATTTTATCAATCCATCTGATGTAGCTCCATAAGTACAACTCAAAATTGTTTAAATTCGAGTTGCACTGGTGATAAAGATGAATCAGTAACATTAACATAACACCCTTATCAAATTTCATCCTTTTTATCTCTGTTGGCCATTAAATTTTCAACATGATTATCATTCTTTGGTGTTTGTTTCAGGAGAATGGTGATCGTCAGTTGTCTTATGTGAATTTGGCTCGTTGTTTGACGGGTTACACGGATTTGACCAGATATAACAGCCGCCTGAGAGAAGGTCTTAGATCACGTGAAGCAAGCCCAGCTCGTTTTAGTAAGTCTGTTTGCCTCTCCTATTACCAGAGGAATACTTTCAAACTAACCTGGGACATCAAATATGTTGAGTCTTTTGAGCAGTCAAAAACTTCTACAAATCTTTAAGTTTTGAAATGTGATGACTCAATTAATGATCATTAATGTCGAAAATTTAATTTTTACCAAAAGAATTGAGAAAAAATGTTGGTCTCAATTTTCTTTTCAGCATTGGGTTTTAAACAAACATTTTTACCCTCAAAGATTTACAGCAATCACTCTCACAAATGTATACATTTTTTTTAGGACCCAGAAAAACCGGAAAATAGCAGAAAACAAAAAATCAGTGGGGCAGTCAGAGGATCAGTGTTGAACTGATAAAATTTCTCCTCTCATCTCTCAGACCATTTTGTTCTCTGTTTAGGTGGAGTACATGGACTCAATGCTGTAAGGGGAAAAGTTTCTAATTTTGCTTCCAATACTATAGAAAAATGTAGTAATCTCCAAGAGACTTAAGGGGAATGGCAGGGAACCTCAGGTTGTCACCAGGAAATTCAGTCCATGAAAAAATTAAAAAATTTCAAACATTCAGTAAAGTATTACCAGCTTGCCTGAAAATTAAAACGCATCTGCAGTGCTAACAGAGTAGTTTTTTGTATTCTTATTTTAGTATTATTGCTTATATTTTTTTGTGGTGATTACCATGTACCAGTTCTGGACAGTCTGGTAGAATGAAACATTAGCCCACCTTGACAATCCTTCATCAAAGCATCTTTTAATGAACAGGGAAAAGTCTGGATAATGAACGAGTAAATCCAATTAATAACCCCCTAACAGAAACTTGAACTGTTTTTTAATTCTAGTTCTTGATACCTCGACTCACAGTACCAAAGATATGTCTTGTTTGCCACCTTCAATGAATCCCATGAAACCCACCACGGAAAGGACAGAAACATGTGCCTCGTCTACGGAAACAGTCACAAGTTCATTCATCGAACAGCGAATTGCACGATTGTACGGTTCCTCAGCTGTTCAACGGAAAGTCCCCAGTCCACAGCCAAAGAACTCTGAGGTAAGGTTCACCTTGTGATTTTCCTAGTTATTCAATTGTCCAAAAAATATAAAAACCAGATTCTTAGGGATGAAACCAGTCAGATAAATGCAATGTTCACGGAAAAATTAGTTTGCTGAATGGTTATCAGACATACATTGTCAAAACGACAAAGTCTGGAACTAAACCAGCACTCATTTTGTTCAAATTAGTGTACCGGGTTAGTTTATCATTAACAAATGTAAAATCCTAATCCACCACTCTCCTAATGCACAAATTCTACCACAATTAGTGGCTTGATTAACATAATTAACAATGCCATTGATAAAATCTCTCAGTTAAGAGGAAAGGAGAGGGAGGATGTCTGCGTGTCCAAAAATTTCAGCTGTATCCACAATTAAAAGGCAGGCCTGTGATTCAGAAAATGTAATCCTGTTAGGTATGTTTTTTAGTAGGCTATTAGAAAATGACAAGCAGCCCCACAATATTTACTCAACATTTGTGTGCGAACACGCTCATTATGGGTTTGTAAAATTCTAAAGCAACTGTTTAGAAGTGAAAGCACCTAGTTTCAATGAAACAAAAGTAGAAGCAAATCAGAGTGTCAACAGGTCTTGAAAGCATGGAACTGTCTGGGAATTTTATGAAGAAGAGTGGAAATTTGAAAAATCTTAAAACTTGAAATCTGAAGAAAATCAGTGCTGTCATAAGGTTTGAAAACCAATGCTCTGAGTTACATTCTGATTAGGGAAGAGAGAAATAATTTTCAAGGAAAAATTGAAAGGACCCCGCACACCATGACCGATTGCCTTCTGACTAATGTCATTCGATTCTCCTCAAGATGCTGATCAAAAGTTATAATTGCGCCAACTTTCTACGATGCACCGTTTTCGCAAAAAATCTAAGAGAAGTTACAATTATTCGGCAACAATGAATAAAAACTAACAAAGCATTTGAGAACAGGCCCGATGTAAATAAGGAAAAAACGTAGCGCGTCTTCTTATCTATACCTGCCGACTCTGGGGCTATCTCCCTCCCGCTCTCGTCTGGTTGACGTTCCGACTTTCCTGTTCTTATGCTCCTCAAGAATCTGATTTGGATGGTCGAGCAAAACGGCGTGCGGAAACCGAGATAAGACTGCTTGTCGGTGCGGGAGTTCCCCTGATTTGTTCACTCGAGTACTGAAATGAGGAATCTTTCTGGCTTTTTATCGCCGAATAATTAAATCTTCTTTTAGGTTTTTTACGAAAACAGTGCATCGTAGAAAGTTGGCGCAATTATAACTTTTGATCAGCATCTTGAGGAGAATCGAATGACATAAGTCAGAAGGCAATCGGTCATGGTGCAGCTTCCCATAAGAGGTGTGCGGGGTCCTTTTAGTCAGCTGAACAATTAATATCTTCAGAAAAAAGTTTGTCGTGTTTCTATCATTAGCGTTTTCATTTTCGGTTGAACGCATGCAAATTGTCATAGTTAAAAAATCAGGGAGAATTTTCATAATTTTAGTGAGAGAAGATCCGGAAAAAGCAGGGAATGTCTTTGCTCCGAGTCTGTAGATATCCTGTAAACTGAAGCTGATTTGGATAATGATGTGGTATAGTAGTTAATAAGTAATGGAATGCAAACAATAAAGCTGTGTAAGTACAAGTGTATGACTTTTGAAGCTTATGTGTACTCTCTTATTTTTTCAGCAGGAGGTAGCAGCTTCAACTGAAAACAGTAATGATAATTTGCCTGTCATGAAATTACTTAGACCTGAATTTTTGGCACAGTTTCAATTTAGATCTTCCAAAAGTCCTATGACTAAGTGCAGGTATGAATAAGTATGGATTTCTTGTATACATTAATAGTTAAAAGGGAGCTTTCCTGAAAATGGTAGTTTAGAGAAAGGTTTGTCTCACTCGTCAAAAGAATGGAGTATCTCACTATTGCATGGCAATCATTTCCGAGTTTACTTCTTCCATCATTTGGTGAACTATGGTAAAGCAAGCAGTGAGAACTGGCAGCGAAGTTGATGATTGTGATTGAATCAATCATCAAAGAATGAAAGAGTATTATTTTTACTGTCTAGTTTTCATAAGAGGCACTACAAGTACTATTATGTAAGCCACTTGGGGGCAGAACTTGCCCCACAGGGTCTTACAAGAGGGAACTATAGCTTAGTCCTATGTCAGTCAATACTTCCTAAGAAAAATAATCTTTTTAGCTAGGTATTTTTCAGGCTTTCTCAGTCATTGTAAAATATTTGGAGGAAGGGTCAGGTCAATCTTGCGTAAATTGTCAGGAAGATGACATGGTGCCTCAGAAGAAAGGGGGAAAATTGGTCAAAATTGTTTTCGCACTTTAGTGGCCCTAATGATCAATGAACTTCCGTCTCTGAAATTCATCTTTGTCCCTTTTGATGAGTTAGTACATCCACTGTATCATTCAATGCTCCTATTATTTTATCAAAACCATAATTTCATTCTGTCAGCTGGATTTCTGTTTTGTGTAAAAGAATTTGATGAATTCTTTCTGTTACAGCTCGCGGACATCAAGAGCAAGGTTGGAAGAAAATGGCCAACAGTCACATATACCAAATGGCAATAGTTTAGATAGTAGTATAGTTAGTGTAGCTGTTTCAAATGGAGATTCTAATAAAAATATTGAACCTACCAAAATTACCAATGGTGACAGCGTTGATGGAACGGCTGTGAAAACGAAGAATATACCTGTGAAACTATTTTCTAATTTAGCTGAGGAAAAAAATGGCCACTATTACTTAAAGGTTTGTTCTACCTATTTCTTTTAAATAATTTCACCCTCCTATCTCAGATTTATTTGTATCAAGTCACGTATTGACAGTGAAACTCCCGAACCACATATCTTGCTCGCAAGATTTCAAAATGTCTGCTCCTATTTTATTTTTTTGAAGGATAACAAATCAACAGTATTCCTCGAAGTTTTCACAGAATTTTCTTGGCACAAAGAAGAAAAATCGTGGAAGTCAAGAAGAATTGACATTAAGCAGTTTTTCTCTTGAAAAAATAAAGTTTGTTAGGTCCTTTGCATCGTCTCAAACTCAGATACATTGTTTGGGAGCTTCACCCCTGATATATTTGTCATAGGCCCAGTGGTCACACAATCATCATTGCATTATTAGGAAGTTTCTACACCTATGGTTCAGTGACAGTGGCTTCTCTAGTCAGTAAACCCTGTGCAAGGTTCATTGGACAAGTTGCGAACACCCAGAAATAATTAAATAGTCTTTCTTTCACGTACCTCTCATCAAATTTTCGTTCATTTCCGGCTTTTTCTGGATATCACTTTGGAAAAAGATGTAGTCTTCATACTCAGAAAAGCAGCCAAACTACACTTAAACCCTCGTCTATTTTGACCAATCTGATTTAGATCTCCTTTTCTGCTGCTAAATTGCTCTTTTTAACCTCTTGGTCCTCAACAGTTAATTTTTTTTTTCATCATTATTATTGTCAATTTTAAATTTTCAAAGAAAAAGATCAAAATAATTTCCTTAAGACAGTATCTAATTATTAGTTTTCAGTACTGATCATTGATTTTTCATTTGAAAAAAAAAAAATGTTAAATTTTCAGATCTTACATCAAGAAATGAATCATCTTCTGAAATTGAGTGATGAATACCAACCAGAACTAGCTCATGTAACTGATGATGTTGCTGATGTAATCAGGTCTGCAGTAGGAAAAGCTCAACTGTTATGTAACCAAAAATTGAAGCAGTTCGAAAGCCTCTGCTACAAAAATATTGTAAGTAACGATTGTTCTCTTGGGATTCTATTTCCATTGTTAGAGTGAAAGGGTTGCCTTGGGTTGAAGGAGAGAAGCAAATTTGAGCAATATTAAAGAATCGAAAATGACAGCGCTTTCAACTAGTCATATTATTTCTAAACACAAGCGCAACTTCGAAACTTAAGACGTGCAATTCCTTTAAAAAAAATTAGAAAAACCAGGAATTTTTTTTTTATTTACTCACAGATGAGAAAATTAGTGTGATGAATGTATAAAATGTTAAAGAACGTGTGTAAATTTTCCAGTTTGATATGGCAATCCACACATCAATTTACCCTCTCCATCTGATAGGTACTTCCTTTTTTTTTGTGAGAAGTGGAAATTTTTTGTAGTTAGTAATTTCACTTAAAAAACGCAAATAAGCACCTTTTTTGATGAAGATAGATAGTTGTGCTCTAAATTCTGAGAAGACATCACCATGCCAAGCTAGAATTACTGATGGTTCAGTATACCCCTAGAAATCTGTGATCATCAATTACCTTTTCAAATTTAGCAGCAAGATGTAGTGTTGGGCTGAATCCCAAATTTTAACTTTCGAATCCTCGCATTCAAATACATCGCAAATCCTTCACTTTTCAGGAACGCATTACTTTTATTTATTTATTTATTTATTTATTTTTCAATTTTATTTTTTCTCTCAACAATAAGGACAAAAGGAATGAGGACTTAAAAAGAAAAGAAAGAATATTCATCTCAAGTCAAATTTATTAAAACCTAATTTAATCTGACATGAAAAATAATCAAATTTTTTGAATTGAATTTAATTAACTTCTCAAGACAATTTAAGTTGAAAAACACAAACAAGAAAAATTACATTGGTTGCGATATCTTGACGTAGTATCTCGAGTATTTATACCATTATATACTGTTTGAGAACATTCTGGAATGAGTTGAAATTTGAGATTGAGAGACGATATCGATATTCGACGAGATTCGAGAACCTTCGGGAATCTTGGGGACTCAGCTTCATGGTGGGAATTCTGAAGTTTCGGAGGTTTCGTGGATTCGGGTTTGAGCCTTTTGACACTGAATTCCGAATCCAAGATTCCCCGTCCCAACACTAGCAAGAAGCATTAATCTTATTTCAGTTTACCTATTTGTAGTATGTCAGCACCAAATGTAAATTTCATTTTTTTTTAAATTTTCAGAACCAAAAACCAGATGAGCCGTATCCTGCAACGTGTGAAGACCTAGGTGGGTTCTGGGATTTAGTAGCTATTCAAATTGAATCTATTAAAGGAATGTTCAGTGAATTGGAAAAAATTAAGCTTGCTGGATGGACAATTCAGGTAATCTTTCATCTTTGTTTATTATTCAATGTTGGAAGGACAAGTGGCATGTAAATCGTTTACTCGAGACTAAAATTTTCTCCATAGAAAGAAAATTTTGGAGACATTCCCTCTTTGAATACATTATGTATTGAACACACAGTGCCCCAGGGTCCCAGGGAATCACAAAAATTTAAGGATTCTAAACAAGATTTTTGATTTGTTACTCAAGGAATTAATAACCGAAATAAACTCCAAAAGGGTGGGAAATTGTCTCCTTTTTGAAAATATTTGAGAAGTTAATGTGACAAACATTCCAGAAAGTGTGGCATTGTTTGTCACCTTCACATCTGGCGGTTTATTTTGTCTCTTGCGTGAAGGAATGTATCTCGTCTGGTTCGTTGCACGGTTTCTACAGATATTCTATTTTTAATGGGGGAACTGTCTCAGGAATTCTTATTTTTCACAAGTGCATGCAAAAAATCACCACTTTTAGAAAAACTCATGTGACGGTTCTTCTATAAAAATATAAATTGTTAGTGAGATACATGGTAACTGTGCTGTTGGGGTATGTTCCTTTTCGTCGGAGACAATTTATAACATGTTACTCTCTGTACTTTCCTGTTCATTTCTTTATTCAAGCTTCTCCCCCATATGTTTCTGTTAATGTAAAGTCTTTGACTCAGTAACATAAAAAAAGAAGGAAGGAAGAAACGCTTGAAATCGCACCCAGTACAAATTTTGGGGTACTGTCTACATAGTTTCTTTCCGTTTCTCTCTGGGTTAACCTTTTTGCTGGCAACTTAGAGAACTGTCTGCATAGAGGCAGTAAGTTTGAAAGAAAGTGTTTCAAGCTTTGCTAACTGGACATGAAAGAGTGGATTTCAGACTTTTTTAAGAAGTCTACTGTCATTTTCTTGTAATCTCACATGCAGAAAGTCTATTCATCCAGCCGTATGTTTTACATGAAACATACCCATTTTACTCCTAAGAAGTCGTCCCAGTTAAAAATATCTCCCGCCTGCAATGAAACCATTCAAGTTTCCTTGCAGGAAATTCTTGAATTTTATAGAGGGTTGTGAGTTAAATTTTTAATTTAGGAAACTGCCAATTCATTGAATAGTTTATCAGAGGAATGTTTTCACTGCAAGGGTTTTCACCTTTAGATAAAGAGGTTTAGTATTTTTTTAACAAACAATAATCCTCTCACAAAGCTAAAATATTCTATGCCTTATTTGCAGGATGAGAAAGTTCCTAAAATTTTGAATGGAGTGTCATCGAAGAAGACTGAAATGAATAACAATGCTAGAGTAAGTAGACCTAAAACGAGTGCTGCCAATAAACCTACTGAGAAAGTGAAGAAACAGCGAGAAGACCTACGGAAAAAAATTGCTGAAGAACGTAAGAAAATGGCTCTTCAAAAAGAAACTTCTGATTCTGACATTTTATTATTATAACCACGATATTTTCTCTCCTCTGTTGAAATTTGCATTAACTTTGTACAATTTTTTGTTTTGTTAGAAATTATCTCTATTTTTGTCGTTTATCAGGTTCAACAGCTAACTCTTTTGTTCCTGCCGAGTATTTTCTTGACGAGTTAGATTCTTTACCACTTTTCTGTTTTAATATTCTGCTGTTTCTTGATGAATTTTCCTTTGTGTGGAAATCGAGAACTACTCTTAGTCGACAAGTTCACTGGGCATAAATATTCTTGTAATGAAATGCGTCTATCAAAGAGACATTTATTTATTTATTTATTTATTTTTTTTAAAAAGTTAATGGCTCATTTTTATTTGTCTCAATTTTCCTGAATATTTTATTCTGTATTTTCTCATCTGTATTTGCTAAGGTTTTTTTTATCATTGGAAAATTTTCACTTTCGTTCATATTTTACGTTTCATTGATTATGGTTTCTATTTATCTATTTAATTATTTATTCTTTCATTATTTTTTTTTGGTCGATCTTCTCTCACTACCATAACTATTTTATATCTTGACTCTGTAAGGTGGAAATTTGTCTTTTTATGATCATTTGAATTCCAAATTTTGTTGCTCCTGGTGATTTCCTCTCATTGTTTAATTGATTAATTTATTTATCTAATATTTTTTCTCTTCAGCTGCATGATTTTTATATTATTTATTAACAAGGAATGCTCAAGTATTTTCATAGTAATAATAAATTAATGCCTTTTATGAAACTATTTCTGTGTCAGTAATTTCATTGTAGTAATTATTTTTTATTTTTTGACTTGAATCCTGGCTGTAGTAATTATTTTTTATTTTTTGACATGAATCCTGGCTAGCCTCTAAAGTTATCATGTATGCACTCAGCTTGGCGCGCTTTTTTTGTATTGCGTTCTTCTTCATCCCACAGTTGTTGAACAGTTCTATCTTTGAGAAGGCAGAATCATCGTTTCTAACCACGCCTTTGAAAATTCTCATCACAAATGAATTCTATATTTTATTCAGAATTACATTTATTGTCCTCATATTGATTTTGTGTGTACTTAGCTTGAGATGCCTGTCTTTTTCAATTTTTTACTTATTTATTTATTTATTCTCGTATGGATTCAAATTTTTTTTTCTAATTTAAATATTTTTAGTTATTGTCTTGCTCTTTGCTCTATTAATATTATTTATTATAATTTAACGCTTATGTAACATGTTTGGAAATTTTTAATCAATCACAATTTTTGAAGAGTGTTGTACCTGGTGAATTCATTAAATATTCTATGCAAAATGTAAATGGTGAACTTTGCCGTTCAGTACTTTCTTTACCTTGATAATTAGAAACTTAACAAGGCAGTTTTGTGAGTGTCATTGGATCACCACGTAACTGCAGTTGTGCGAATAACGCTTTTCTGGCCTTGTAGAGGGAGAGGGTGGGGGAGGAGTTGCTGCGGCGCCACTGATTATTGCAGCGATGAAGAATGGTCCAATGAGGTATAATTTTTCATCGGAGTGTACAGTTAAAAAATGACAGCGAAATTAAATCCAACCGTCTTATTATTTCCAGGCATTAATTGTTGACCTTTTGCAGTATTAATTGTCAACCTCTTTAAGTTCTCTGACCTTCAATGCCTCTAACCTCCGAATTCCCAAAGGTTCTGCAGTTGAACATCTTCCCTCATTTAAGGGAGATGATGGCCTCAGCCCTAATTGTCCCTGCTACTGAATTAAGTATTAATTTTTACAGACTAGTCACTCCTTAATATTATTAATTGTCTATGTAATAATTAATTGTAATGAGGATCAAGGTGCAATTTCTTCAACAAATTTTCTGGCATCCACTTCACTTCAATAAATTTCTGTTTCACTGTGTGTTACGCATTGATAAAATCAAACCTAAGAATTTTTTCTCCAAAATGTTTTGGCTAAATCATTTTCTAACTCATGATCAGAAGGTCTCATGTCCTCATATACTTATACTTAATCGTTGCTTTTCATGTGATGTGTGTAGCTGACTCTACTGAAAAATATCTCGGAGTTTTCTAATTGCTTCTCTTTTTTTGTGTCAGAAAAAGCTGAAGAGTGACTAGCCAGTTCTCAATTACACCAACACTCAAAAAGTCTTGTCCCAAGTTGTTAGCATTTGTCAAAGTGAACGATAAAGTTCGAATTGCGAGAGCGAAAGGATACTTTTTGTCCTTTTGACTTAAACTGCTGCTGTAAAATAGAAGTATTAATTGGAACCAAACATTTTGTCAATCCTTACAATAAAAGTCCTGTGTTCTGCTGTTCATTTGAGTAAAATTTGTCTGGTCAGCCATGTACCATTCAAAGGTCATTTCAAAACTGAAAACTAACTGTAGCCATGAAAAGTACTTTTTTTCCTAGCATTGTTTCCTTTTTCCTCACTTTTGCATCTATTAATTTATTATGATTTCCCTATTTGTACTAAACTCTTAGACTAGTTTGTTTTGAACTGTGTATCTTAATTTATTTATAATGGCAGCAATTCAACTTGAATTTTGATCTGTGTTCTCTCCTGTTGAAGTATTAAGACAATTACAATTATCGGTTTTAGCATGTCACATCTACTTACCAATGAGTATACAATTTGCTAATTTTAAAGCTAGTGTAAAATCCTAATGATATTTTCATAATTTTTCCGCAACTTATTACTTTTGCTGATGGAATTCAGGAGAATTTATCAACAAAAGGAGAAATACAGTGAATATGTTCTCCAGGATCTTATTACATATGTCATGATATTTCATATTTACTATATGCCGATTGTGAAAAACTATGTCTACTTATCTGGGTACCACCAGTTGTTTTGTAAGTCATTTCAGCATCGTTGACAGTAAAAAACTTGCTCACACATTGTGTTGTAGCTGAATTTCGAAAAGGTCGTTTTTTTCTATTACTTCCTCCATACTTTTTTTTCACTCGGCCGTAGTAAATAAATGATTATTGTACCTATAAGTTTTCTAGAAGAAATTTCTGTTGCTTAATCAGTGTAACCAAAAGTTTCAAAGATGTCTTTTAACCGTCTGCATCCTGTAACTTGAACTAGCAGGTTTTTCCCTGTTTTTTCTATGCTCTCTATTACAATCACTCTATTGTTATTATGTTTTTGAAAAGGAAAATTTTAAAAATTGTTATGACTTGCGGTAGTTTTGTTATTTTAAAATCTAAGTGCTTATACTTGTATTTTTTTTCCTCATAATAATTTATACTTACTCTGTTGCCATTTGTCCTTTCTGATCGAGATCATTTTTATGATCGGCTTCAAATAATAGGGATTTTTATATGGTGCATTTTTGTTTTATGTATCAGCTCTTGGCTTCTTATTTTTAGTTTCGAGCTAGCATTCACATATCTGCTTCTGATTTCCTTTCATCTTTCTATTGGTTGTAAAAACGCATCGCAGTTTTACTTTTTTAGCCCTGATCTATAATTTTAATAATTTTACAAGAGGACCCTTTATTTTTTGACACTATAAGAATAAATTTAGAAGTTACCCACTTTACAAATGAAGCTTATGACCATTTATCTCCTCATGCTGAAACCCTCTAAATTTATCTCACAGGTGTGGACAGGAAAGTGGAAAAAACGTTAAAAATTCTGGTGGGCGGGTCGATACTTGAGGTATTATTGGTCCAGTTTGTCTCTTAATTACGGACAAAAAAACAATTACAAGGGGCTGATAATCCCGCCTACTTTTTCAGTTTCTGTCTGCCCTTGTTATTTAATATTTAATGCTCATTATTTACTGCCACTTTTATACAAGCACAAGTAAAACCTAATGTCGGTCGAATTTCTTCACATTCCATTTGTATATCCCATCAGCACTCATTATATACAACTTCTCTTAGGTTTGCTGGCAAACTTTATGTAGCTATTCAGAATAAATTCGTAAAACACAGTCCAACAAAAAAAATCATATTCTTAAGGTATAGGGCTCCAATATTCTCACTATCCAGTTGTATTAAGGTACTTTTTAACATCGATAAAATCGGCTAAAAGAGAAACTGAAATGAAGCTCTGAATTGTGTGTTTTCTTCACATTTTGTATGCAAGTTATGAACACCAAAAAAAAATTGTAGTTCATCTCCTGAGTATATCTTTATCTCAGTTTACATTCTAAATTCCACCAATGAGCAAATTATTTTGTTTTCCTTTGAACAGTTTTGACATACCATCTTCTTTCAGACACCCTGCATCTTCTAAGCACATCAGCATTTTGCTCAGGACTTAATTCATGGAGTTTTTTTGGTGCATTGCTCCCAAAGTGAACTTTTGAAACGTGATAATGCTAGGGCTCCAATTCATTCCTTTTTTACTGGTCTACGAGTAATAATTTCTTTCTTGAGAAATAGTATTTGTCCCATGTAAATCGGAAAAAAAAAAAAAAAAAAAAAACCCTCATCTAAATAAATTACAGAAAACTGGTAACTCCAGTAAAATCAGAAATTGGAATGTTCCACTTTCTCTGCTGCAAGTCTTTTATTTCAATGATCAATCAAGAAGCCCTGTATTTTATACCTGAAAGATGGAAGTGAATAGTTTCCGAACAGTTGAGTTTTGACGTTTGCATGCCTTCAAAAATAATAGAAATGTAAAATTTCCTGAATAGCGCTTATTCTGTAAAGATTAATTTATTCTGAATCATACAAAAATTGGTCTCTCAATTTCATTGAAAGCATTTATTTTTGTTAATGACGTTAATTTTGTATTTTAGTGTAATTGAAATTTTTTATTTTTTCCATTGAAACCAAAATTTATTCTGTTGATTTGTGTATCATACAATTAATTTATTTGTTACTCTATCATGTCTTCAATAAGTGTGCTACACAATGATTACTATTACTTTAGTTGTAGGTTTTGAAGTACCTTACAGAAAAGAAAGGAACAATAAAATAACCAAATTAATACGTACCCCGTTCATGAGTTCTCATTTATTTTCTTGATTTTTGGGCATGCCCAATTTGCTCCTGCATATTTCATTTTTAAATTATCTAGAAATCAAAGCAGGAACAGATCGCTGTTTCAAACCCTGTGTAAAGCTTCCCTTTAGCAAACATTTGTAATAAAATGAGTTCATCTATTCTGCGATAGTCGCTTTTTCTGAATGAACTAATAATGTAAAAGAAAAATAGAAAATAAGAAAAGTCAACCCATCCAACTTTTAATCTATTCGGTAACACAATTTTGGTTGTTGGCCCAAGTCCCCCTCAAGCCATTTTGTGATGCTAATATTAAGGTCAAACACCTTATTCAAGAGTTAAAGGCATAGAGTATACCGCATGATTATGCAACATGTAATGAAGTCAAAGAGGGAGGAACTCTTTCCGGTGTTTAAGCCAGAAGTTGTCCATGGTGTAAGAGGAGCCACAAATTTTTCATGGGAGATGTCAGAACTCAGAAGGTGAAAAGTCCCTGAAAATGACCTCTCTGGGAAATTGTCTGGTCGTAGAGNGGGGGGGGGGGGGGGGTCCAGAACCCCTTCTCCCTGGCTACACCACTGATTTTTGAAATATGAAAAGTTAGAATTGTCTTATTATTTAATAGGTACACTATCAGTTCTTGAATTTTGAACTTAATTATCTTGAATGTTCAATCTAGGACGGATTTATTTTTGTGAAACTTTCTGAAAGGGCTCCTCCCCTCTTCCCCAGTTGGATCTCATTGAATGATCTTCGCCTTAGAATTTTCGTAAAACCTCAACTGGAGACTTGACACAATGCTGCCGTGCCTAGGAAGAACACCGTATGAACATTCGAGAGTTGCTAAATTTCCTCTAAAGAACTGTTTATTTTTGAGGAGAGTTATGAATATTTTTCCTTGAAATTTTCAGGAACTTCAGCTGAAATTGCGAACAAATTAATCTGAAATATTGGAGGAAAAATCTTTACAGATTTCCCCTCAAGGTCGTGATTTTGGAAGGAAATTTGGCAACGCCTGAAGGTTCATACGGCGTTTTTCCATAGCACGTCATTATGCGGCTGCACGTAGCGCCTGTGCAACCGCCTGAATACTGCCGAATATCGCGGTGCGTATCATGTGAAAATGAAGGCGCCTGTTGTCAGCAACAACGGTTGTACGAATGTGCACTTCCCGGCGCGCCAGTTGAGATTAAGAAGCGCCTTCTCACTCACCTACTTACCCAGTCAGTTTCAATCCGCCTTCACCTATTCAACTTGTTGAGGGCAGAAGTAAATATGAACCATTCGTCAGCCGTATGAAACTTTCAAAACCCTGGAAACTTGGCGCTTTTCCCCTTTTTTTTGGGTCTCATTAAGTATGACCACTGAAAATGTGAATGGGGAAGGTCAACGACACTCATATTTTAATGAATGATAGTGAATTTCCCAATAATTTCAAGTTTCCTTACGAGGTGCATCAGTTCAATCATCTCAAGACGGCTCAAACGTTGAAATGGGCGAATAAGACGAGTATTTATTTGGCACTCGGTGCGTGGAAACTTTGATCCGGGCAAGGAGGATGTGTCTCGGATTAAATTATGTCTGGAGAGCGGCTGTCTGAGGGAGAATGCCCAGTGCGACGATGTTTTGGTGTGTTAAAAGACAACGATGCGTGAGTCAGTGTGCGTGAAAGCCGGCGAGAGAGATGAATATCCGAACGTATGAGGAAAAGAGAGATAAAACGACAGTCCCCTCATGCGGCGTTGCGCACACACACACGCTCGGGCCGGCTCTCACACTCCCGCAGATACTTTGTTCCTCGGACGACCTGTGCAGGTTTTTACGGACGATATTTTAGAAATGCAACTGGAATCGCTTCGCTGTGAATGGAATGGGGAGGGGAGCTATGATTATTGACTTGCTGGGTTCCATAATCTAGCAAAGCAAGCTACGCTGCTACGCCGCCTCACGCTAGGCTCTCCACTCGCTCGGAGACATCTTTGTTCAACGAAAATCGGGCTCCAATGAATGTTTTGTTTTGTTTTTTCTCCAAATATTAGTGCGAATTACTAATTATTGGTGCTTGCGGGTATTGAAACTCGATAAATAGGCTTTCGCACGTGGGAATTGTGACCTTGACTTCGCGTCTTCGTGAGTAATCCTCGAAATATCTTTTAGTGATCCGGGTAAAGTTTAGTGAGAAATCTGTGTGTAATAATGTTACGTTCATGGCAATCTCCGGTCCATCATCATGAAGATGCCAAATACACGGGTAGTCATCAGTAAGCTGCGTGTGTCATTTCCTTCAGTTTCGCGTAAATAATGCATTATCTGCGCTGAAATAATGTTTGCTTACCTCATTCCACCGTGTTTTCTGCCATTCTGACGAGGTTAGCTTCTTTTTATTGTTGTGTGCTAATAAAATCAGTGAGTGCCAAGTTCCTATTATGTGGATTAAGTGAATTGTTTCAAATGGATTACCTTGCATCGAAAAATGGATAACACCCTCCTTAGTAACTGAGGTAAGACATTCCTATCATTTTCATACGCACCTTTTCGAAGTTCCGCTGGATGTAGAATTGTCATCATTCCATTAGGTTAGGTTACTAATCATAAATGGTTTAATCACAATTTTGGCCATGAACTCTACATATTTCAGAATGTGCGTAAGCAATCAGTGCTTTATCTGTAATTGCATTTAAGTAGCGAAATGACCGCTTCCAGCTGATTCATCCCTCATTCGGCTCAGCATCCCTCCATTTGCTTGGTGAATTAGTCGCAAATGTCTTGACTATGGTTTTGAATATGATCTGCTTCTAAACGTAGCCATATTAAATTGACTACCAGACTATGCAGAAGCTTTAGCATGTGCGCTATTCCTCTGCAGGTACTGTCTGTAACCAGTAGATGCTCGTATTCCTAACCCAAGCTCAAATACGCAGATGGTCTAGCACATGCGCTACTGCTACTCCTGCGCAGTTACAGTTTGTAACCAGTAGATGCTTATATACCTAACCTAAGCCTATGTCTAGATACTTTTTCTCAGTATTTGGCAATTATATTATCTTGCAGCTCATTCCCATTGTCTCATTTGCAATCTTTAGAGCGTGAGGAAGCTTCTAGCCATTTTGGAAAGGGGAGGGTTGTTTTGAAAGTCTATATATTAGCGTATATAGAGCTGAAGCATCATATGTTGAGACGACATCAAAGTATTGTTCCTGTCCCTACTCATCCGGGGTGCCATCTGACTGCATGTATTAACCTGTTTGAGTGGTGCTAGTCCAGAAGTCTAGAGCTAATCAGAGATTGAAGTTTGTCTGAACATACGATGCGTGAGCTCTAACATACAACTACTTATGTTGTACGATTTCTGTATTTTAAAGTACCTATTACCGTTTTTGAATCTTTCTCATCAGCTGTGCTAACACATTATTGAGAGTTATCCTTTACAGAAATATGTCTGTAAACAGACAGTTATTGTCACTCTGTGTAGTGGTCTCAGTAACGGGTAACTTTTTGTTACCCGTACTTCAATAAAATGTGTGGTTGAAACCAGCTCTTGAAATGTACCTAGGTAGGTCCTTTAACAGAGAACAGAAGCCAAAAAAATCCCAAATTCACTGTCAATTCTTATTTAGAACCAGGATGGCAACTGACGATTTCTGATTTTGTTGAGTTTCTCGTGAAAACACCATGAATGAACTTCCATTGCGGTTTTTGTGAAGTCTTTTAATCTCTTCTCTGGTATACTGAAATAATTTCCATCTATTTTTCACTTAGCTCTAATAAAGTTCAGTACTGAGAGTGTGACATAAGTATCGGTTTAAGTATTTGGTAATTAACGTAAAGACAGAAGTCAAAGTTAATCCACTGCAACAGTCTTAATCAATGGTACAAGTCAATCGTTTTTATTAATTTGCTGAAAGCTCCAATTTAAGAACCAACATAAGATTGAGTTGAGCTTGGAAACAAGAATAGTCTATTCTAAAACAGTTTCTTTATTAAGAAATACTTGATTTATGACCTAATCATGTATGCCGGTTGATAAGAGTGCAGTAAAAGTATGAGTTATTACTTTAAAGAGAAGTAGAATCTTTTTAAGTTACACTCCTACATCTTTTGGAGGGTCAGAACTCCTAAAAGACCGGTGATCTCATTGGAGGGGTACCTCTTAGAAAGCTTCATAATTACTTCAATCGACTGTCTTTGTATATTGATGAGAGATAGCACCGGCAGCTCTACAAAAAGTTTTAATCCCATAAGTAACACAGATTAGATTGAAAGAAAGCCATGTACATTAGGCACAGCAAGTCTATTTGCAATTCCTAATTGTCCTAGCAGGAGGAATGGCACATTTACTTGCCTTAGTTCAGTATCAATCGACTTATTTAGGTGACTTTTCTAAGATAGCTTGCTATCATAGATGACACTCAGACACCTAGCTTTACATTTCATTCTAATAGGGATAAGGTCGCATCTTGTCGATTGTCGTTGATCTTGTTTCACTGCCCCCAATTACAATTGTGTAAAAAAAAAAAAACCCTCATCTTTTCTAAAGCTACATTTCAACTCCAGTTGTTTTTTCATTGTCAGTAAATTATCATCCATCTAGGGCTTAGCAACATTATTTAATACACATTGTTTACAAAGTAAGTCATGGCTTCCTAAGTGTCATCAGCAAAATGTCGAAATTCATAGTCCTGGTTTCTGTTTTAAACTGAAATCACATATGTATAACAAGAATGATATCGGTCCGAAAACCAAGCCTCGTAGAAACAATCCCCCCCAATTGATAGGGATCACCCCACTTACAGAAAATCAAACTTTCTGGGTTTGTTCTGTAAATTGACCAGAAATAAGTTCAAGTGTTGGTGCTCCTATATCTGACGTTTCAAGTGAGAACGTAGGCATGGATAGGTGTTGAAAATACAAAGCTGAGTTGTATCATTCTTCACAGAAAGTTCCATTCATTGCCACACGTACAAGTCAATTTAAAGCCTAAAACTGAAGCCACCCCGATTCTCATTAATTAGCGGGTAAAATTTCTTCCACTTGAAAAAAATCTATATGGATCTGTGATGGTAGCTTATCCATATGCTGTGGCAACAGTGATAGAGTTATGATACCTACCCAATGTAGCAATTGTAACAAATAAATATATTTATTACCTACGTTGGTAAACAAACTCTGGTACCCAGATCAAGTCCAAGTCTCAAGTTACCCAGGATTGGATATATTTCATTTCAAATCAGAATCAAATTTTCAAAATTTCCTCGCACATTGCTTTTTCGAGGATATTCTGCATTGTGGGGCACGCACCGAGGTACTTAGGTAAGTTAGTGCTGGATCAAATGTCAATATGACAATTTTTATGTTTTATCCCGAGGGCAGAAGGATTTTGCGTGGGAGGCTAATTTTCATTTCCTTTTGATGAAGGCAATATTATAAAAATCGTCGTGATTTTTAATTCAAAGAGAGAGATGTAGCGAAATATTCTTATAGGTAGACTCCCCTCCCCCCTTCCCTCTCCAAAAAGTTGGCACCCCAAAAAAGAGGTGGGGGAAAAAATCCCCCTTGGTGCTCGAAAAAAATCTTCGGTTGGCAATTTTTCCATTTACCTCTTTGCAGTCCGAGGCGAAGCCGATTTTTGAACACAAACGCTACCTTATCAATCCTGGCATGTACCCACGAGGACTCATTAAAATTGACCAATCGTGAATTGACGTCAATAAGTAGGACGTATCCGGATTCAAGGAGAGGGGTTTATAAAAACGCGTACTTATTGAACGTATCACTCTATGGGACTAGGTACACGTTTTCTTTTTTGTTACACCTCTTTTTGCAGAGTGATCCGTTCTGCCTCTATGACGTAAGTAGGGATGGCGTGTTCGGTAAAAAACACATTATGTCGTTAGATGAGCTTCTCTATAAAGAGAAGTGAATCGACCGTTGTTGATTCAAGGAAATGATATGACTAATCAAAGCGAGGACAGGGGTGCAGGAAGTTCCAAAATCGAGGGGCTTGGAGGTCAAGGCCCATGAGTGCAGTTTTTTTTTAAAAAAATTGAGTTATTCATGAACTCAACCTAGTAAAACTAGTTTGAAAGTATATTCTGTGAAAAATTCACCACTAAAATCCTAATTGAAAGCCTCAAAAAGTGAGTTTACACTTCCTTTTTGCCACAAGGCTCCATGAAATCTTGAAACTTCAAACACGTATTTCTTGAAATAGCAGAAACTGCACTTGTGCGCTTTTTCCTCCAAGCCCTTCATTTGTGAAATACAATAGGACTGCGGAACGTTTGCGGCTATCTGGCGTGTTTGTCTAAAAGTGTATTCTGACGTGCTAAGAAAGAACGCCGCATGAACCCTCAAACAGCGCCAAATTTACTCGGAAAGTTATGAATATTTTTCTTTCAATTCTTCCAAAAATATTGCTCGCTCTATAATCTAAAGTATTTGATACCTATTTTCAAGGAAAAACACGAATACTTACACTTCTTCTAAAATAAACATTTTATCGGAGGAAATTTGGCAACTCTCGAATATTCATACTGTGCGTTTCCTTAGGGCGGCAGTATTGATGATTTGCATGAATTGGTATAAGATCTCCAATTTCCCGGCAAAACAAGCGATTTGCCATACCTTTTTAAAGTATCGATAGGGGAAAAAGGGTCATCCCTTTTTTAAAATTGCTTGACGGTAGCCGCGAATGAAAGGTTTGCGAGGTGGTATTTTCTGCATCCTTGCTGAGCGAGATGCTTCCATCCAACTGTAATTTTATCATCCGCATGTTCGCTCCGGACAACTTCATGCGATTTCGGTAATTAGCATCGTTGGTATTGTAAATGGCAGTGCTTGTAATGATCTCAGTATGACGTGACGAAATTTTTGTTCGCGAATGAGTCGTGTAACGAATTAAGAAGTTTAGCTATCCACCTTTAACTACCATTGGTCCCCTTCTTCTATTCAGTGATCAATTCTACCTAGCAATCCGCCCAGCAAAACGCGTGAAAAAGCGTTGTCACAACGTAATTGAAAAAGTCAATTGAAAATTAAAAATTAAATTGAAGGATGTAAATGCAACCTCAAAGAGTTGATTCTGTCGATTCTTTCTCCTTGATAGGAACGCACCTGCTTTCGACAGTCAAAAAATACTTAGTGTTTGGCTCTCTTGCTTCACGATCGCCGGACTTCCTTTGATGTTGAAGATCTCCTTATCTAGTATATTTATCGTTTGGGTTCGTCACTGATAAAGGAGAAGTCATCCTAAGCACTAAATTATGGTTGAGAGTCATAGTTGTTTCAAAATTACGGTTTTATCTTCTCCCAATATTTCTGTGACCGGTGACTTAAGTTTTGTCTCATCTCACCATTAAAGGTTGAACCTTCCTCCTCCTATCATGGATCGAAGTAGAATTGCCCGCCGTTCATTTTGAGGACTCCTTTTATCTTAATATCCTGTAGCGTATTTTCTAAAAGAGGACGCTCCGTATCAGCGATTTAAAGGCAAAGACGTCTT